TGAGAAAGGGGGAGGGGAGCCTACATTTACTATCTTGTTTAAATGTACCAGAGCACCTATGATTATTACTTTAGACACTCATGAAATGAGATAAATAATAGGCTTGTTAACCGATTTCTAAAGAGTCGGCTAACAAAAGGCAGAAAATAGTGGAGAGTCAAAGAACAATGGGGTTCTGACAGCCATGAAACTAATTTGTTGGCTTTTTTTTTTTTTTTTTTAAATTTATTCTAGTTTATCATTGTTGTCTTTTTTCTTTTTTTCATCAGCATACAATTTGAATAATTCAGCCCAACTGTCAGTCAATACAAAAAATTTCTATAAATGGAAAATAAGTAACCTCGGCTGGCAAGTGTTAACAAAAAAAAAAAAGCATTGTAGGAGAGATTTACTCACCCCCCCACAGCTACAATGGCAAGATGCAATACAATGTCTTTTTGATGTAGAGGCTGACTTTGGCCAATCCAAAAATTGTTCCATTCCCACTGTCATGCTGTCATCTATATTCCATTGACCCTCCCTCTTTTTATGCAATGAGGGAAGAGTTACCACAAGGTTGGAATCCAAAGGACCAAGTACCTTCACCCTTGTAAAACAAGGAGAACAGATACTAGGCATTGATCCCAGCCAAAAAGGATTTGGGGGGAGAAATGTAATGAAAGTTAAATTAAGCGGATCCTAAGCAGATGGGCATTTTATGGATGGTCATCAAAAAACAGATGAATCAAATCGTATAATAAAAAACATTTTTTATTTAAATTCCAAAAAAATCTCCTACACCTACTTAAAAATTATCAAAATAATTCATTTTAAATCAAGTCATATCAAATTTAATGAAAACAGACTGAAAAATTGTTAAAAATATCTGTTTATACAAGCAGTGATATAAAGTTTTTTTTGTTATTACCCTGTCCCTTCATAACTCTCCACAGCTTCCTTTTCTTTATGATTTGTCAATTGCTGTAAATTTTGGAGAAAGAGTGTGGTAGTTGTCAGTTGCTTTCCCCACAGTTTGAAATTCAGAGTTTTCCTTCTCTTAAACTGGTTGCCACCACAAGGCCAGCAAATTCATCCTGCTATTTTAACCTATACTTATATGCCATGTCCCTTCAGGATCTAACTGATCATGACTCTCTAGTTTCTTTTTCTTTGTTATGTCAATTACCATGCATTTTGGGGAAAGATAGTGGCATGGTTTCCCATTGCCTTCTCCATGATTTGGAGTTTTCTGTTAGACTGATTGCCACCCAAGGCTTAAGAGCCTAGTCTACCCTGCTATTTAACCTATCCTTAAATGCCATGTCCCTTCAGGAACTAGATGATCATAATTACTTTTATGAAATGGACAAAGTCCGACAATTATTTTAAGACATTTTTATGTTTATACATTCTTTTTATAGATACAAATATTTAAGTAAATTTTATAATAAACAGTATTAAACAAAATTTACCAGACTGAATGCCTGAGAAATTTTCATAGAAAATATTCATCCTCCGACAGGAATCGAACCTGTATCCTATACAGAACCGTCATATAGCCTGACGTGCCTTTAACCGATTGGGCCACAGAGGAGCATTTAATTAGCAAGGTTGATTTTACTGTCTTTAAACTACAATCTTCTATGAATCACTCACTTACATTCATATCTACTCAACGCATATTCAAATGTAAACAAATGATGTCACACATTATGAAATGGACAAAGTCCAACAATTATTTTAAGACATTTTTATTTTTATACATTCTTTTTATAGATACAAATATTTAAGTAAATGCTCTGTTTATAATAAACAGTATTAATAACATTTACTGGAGGACGAATATTTTCTATGAAAATCTCTCAGACATTCAGACACAAGAAAAATTAAAAAGCTTAATCATTGTCCTTTGGCTGTTGTCTTTAATGAAACATGTATAAATGAGGGATTGCTGCCTAAATACACAATTCACAACAGATTAGATACCAAGATTTTGGTCTGAATTCCTGGCATGAGGAGGAGTCATTATTTGCAATGGACTAATATCCTTATCTTTGTTGTTACAATCACAATGTTTCAACCACTATGCCATTCACCCTTCTTCAGATGTTTCCCATTCCACCATCCATGTCTAGGGATATCTCATCTTTTTCTTTTGATACTGCTTGCCCTGGAATTGAACTCACAAACCATCGCTTTAGACCTCTAAGCCAGCATTTTTCAACCTTTTTTTTTTCCTTTTCTTCAGGATGCACTTGTAGAATTATGGTAGGCTGTATTTATTAGTCAAAGTGCTCAAAACCAGGGATAGAATGTATGTAAATATAAAAATGGACATTGAGGTCAACACCCAGAAGCGACAGTCTGTTTCATACATTAAACACTGTCGCTAGGTGTTGACTTCAATGTTCACTTATATTTCTTATTACATTCTCTTCATCTTAACCCTTACAGGACAATTAAGTATTGTCACATAATCAAAATGTATCTCTTTTTTTTTTTTTTTATTACAACTTAATACCATGGCATTCTTTTATTGTATTAACTTTAATCAAGTGCAAACCAATTTAAATTCTACTCTACAAAATGTTAAAATAAAATGTTTTTATTTTCCAAAAAGTTTCCATAACTAATTATTAGATAAAAAAAAATCAAAAAAAAAAATCATCCCTTTGATTTTTTGATATTCTGGTTTGGTTTGTTTTACGACATATCAAATTCAGTGGGTTATTTAATGCCAACAAGATTTTTATTGCTGCTAAATGTACTGCTGCTAATAATTTTTCTTCAAAAATTCATTACTAGTTATAATTTTTTACAAAAATGTATTGACGGTATTAAAATTTATTTTTAAACTTTCATAATGTTTTGACCCCAGTTTGGGGTCGACTATTTGCCCATAGCTGGGACCCTAATAGATGCTACCACCCCGGGTCAGGGTGGACCTGGGAACACCAACAATTAAGAGGTGGTTCCACGTTCCTCAATACCTCCTGATCAGAGGCCTTGCTGTTGGATGTAGTTTATCATCTTACCCAGAAAGCTCTGATATACTGGTTTGATTTTCCTCCTCACCGAACTAAAACTCTGGGGTACACTTTAAATTTTAACAAGGAAAAGTTAGTCATGTAATTTGAAAACATGAAATTTTGGTTTAGCCTTCCCAAAGAAGCTATTGCTTTGCTTAAAAAAAAAATAGATAAAATTTGAATTTGGTTTGCCAATTCCATTAACCATCATACCATCTTACACTGAGTTCAAATACAGTTGGTGCAAAAGCTACAACTGATTATTCCAGACCCCATCAGAATGTAATGTGTCACCACTATACCAGTGATTTCTCAACATAGGTGATGGCACCTCCTTGAGGGATACTAACAGTTCAGCAAAGTTGCCTAGTTATAATTTTAACAGGGCAGTAAAACTAATTAACTGTTTGAACTGTGAAGGGAACAAGTCACAACATTATATATACACTATTAGTTAATATTTTACCTATATTTATATTTTTAGACATGGTCTGACTCAGAGACTATGGCTTGATTGGTTTGGTTGTCTCTTGACAGAGGATCAGTTGCAGTGAATGGTCAGGACCAGTTTCAATATAATGAATGCCTTTCTCACAATGCACACCAATGTGTACACCAAACCAAACTGAATTCAGAGTTTTCCTTCTCCTAGATTGGTTAACATCTGAAGCAATAGTCTATCCTATATATGTATGAGAGGCCACTGAAAAGTTCTCAGCCTTAACCAAACTTAATATTTCAATGACTATAGTATATAGAGTAAGGCAGAAATACCTCCCACAAAATGGTAATACATTAGCTTGATCAGTGGTTTTCAACCTTTTTTTTACCCATAGACCACTTTTACTCTTAATTTTTGGGGGTGGATCCCCGTAAACATTCAATAAAAATAAAAAGAGAAAAAAAAACTTATTTAATTTATTACTAATAGATAAGTTTAAGAATTGTATTATAAAAATAGTAAATGTTTATGCTTTATTCTGAAGTAAAACTAATTTAATAAACTTATATTTGACAACTAAATTCTATGGAAAATTTATATACCTCATATAACTCATAATGAGCCATTTTAAAATATGTTGAGTAATTAATAAATTAAAAAAAATGTAGATTTATTCAATGAGGTCCCAGTGGTTGATATCAATGATAGCCAAAGAACACCCCTTTTCACAATGTTGCATCTATTACCATATTAATTAATTTATATTAATATTTAAAATTAATATTATTATTAATATATTAAATCATAATCTTTATATAATTTTCCTATATATATATATATATATATATATAAAAATAACCATTCCTTTATATATCATTCGCAGTTTTTATTCAACTTTTACAATCAAAATATCTGGTAGAGTAAAAGGGACGCTAAAACTTACACTGCATGATCTCGTTTTCTACTAGTTTTAGAGTTTTTAATGTTTTAATATGCTGTAGATTACTGTAGAAATTTGAATTCTCAATTGTAACAACAGTTCCAGAGTGAAATTGATCTATGAATCACTAAAATATTACCGTATACCCCCAATTTGATAGTTTTTTGTGTGGACCCCAGTTTAGAACCACTAAGCTACACCTATTACCACTAATGTCTTACTATTATGTAGGAGGTATTTCTGCCATACACTGTATTAAATTACTGATTTTAGAAAGCAAGAGCTTTTTCAGAGTTAACTGCAGATACGTACATGCATATGGGTCAGCGTATATCAAAATTTGACTAAATCAATCACCATGGGACCTGTTTCAACTTAGAGGTACACAGGAAATCAGCATGGATTTCTTATCTTCAGTAACTTTGTAGATATCTTTTATCAGTCCTCTTCAAAGCTCCCTGTCATTTGCTAACTCAAAAAAGTTCTGCAGGTTTTCTAACCCACTTCAAAGTTAGAAGTTTGTCTTTTTTTATGGGGAAAAGATGGAATTCTCTTAATAGTCTTTCCGATGTTGTTCTTCTAATGTCTACCAGGGCTTACAGTCACCTCACATTGAAACACCGGTTCTCATATGATCAGTGAAGTTAAGCAACGTCAAGCCTGGTCAGTACCTAGATGGGTGACCACCGGAGAATATGAGATGCTACACAGGCATGTTTTTAGATTAATTTGCACTTGTTGGAATATAAATGTATAGAAATTATTATGGTACACAAAGTGAAAGGTCAGTCTATATATTGATTGTAATACAGAATTGATCCCCCACTTTATATACACATTATAATGTCTTATTTATCAAATTCTGATTAGGTATGAATGCACCATTTCTCCCTTAAGCTATAGGTGAATTAGTAAAATTTTGTATCACTATATTATTATCTAAAAATATGTTTTTTTTTTAATTCTTACAATCTAAAAATATTTTTTGGCTTTAAATAACCTGCAAAGTGTTGATAAGCTGTAAAAAACAAATCAATCAATAATCTCTACTGATATTCTTCTTCCATTTTGTATTGATGACAAAACCATTTCCATAATATATAGTGTTTCCAAAGTTATTAACTTGTGCTGTCAAAACTTTGATATTAATATAAAGTCCTTTTTTGATTCTGGTCCCTTGGAGACAACAAACAGTGCTATAACTATCAAGGTTCCAAACCAATAATTCTTGCATTTTTTTTTTCTTTCTCAAGTAATCTAACATTAAATGTCCTGATGGTAAAAATTAAAACATTTACAAAATTTTAAAGAAGAACTAGCCAACTGGAGAAGTCATTACGCTCTCTGCACCCCTTCCCAAAAAATAAAAAATAAAATCTTAAATCCATTTTAATTCAAATTTCTTTCTCACTTCCAGCAATTTTAAAATACTAAAAGACTAACATAACGAAAAGGATATTTGTCATTTGAAAAATCTTAATAAGCATACATTTTATAGCAGCACAAATAATAATAATAATAATAGTAAAGAGTTATAACAACCACTTTTAATGGTCTGAAGCTGAGGGGTACTTATTGGAGCACCCCATCCTTAGAAACTACCAACCTCATTTGTCTACCATCACACCAATAGTAGCAATGGCAAGGCTGTCAGTAATGGAGAAATATTTTAAACTTGAGAAACAGAAAAAAATAAGCTGGAGTGACTTGCAGTGCTTAAAAGAAAGGAGTGGTTCCTTTTTGCCAAACAGCCCCACCTCCACAAATTCCTCTCTTGTCTTCATCAGCCTCACAAAGAATAAGATATTGGTCCAATTATTTTTGCTGTTATTTTAGTTTGAGGCCACTTGTGTAAAAAAACCCCAAAAAAAACAGCTCACTGTAAATAAACTATTCTTCTTTTATGTAGTGTGTCCCTTTAGGATGTGGGAAATCATGGCTCTCAACAAATTATTATCCCCAGTAGCACTATGTTTTACCCCTTAATATCTATCACAATCTATTTTCTGCTATCCATTTAGACAAAGTACCAAAAAAAAAAAAAATAAATAAATAAATAAAAAAATAAAATAAATAAATAAAATAAAAATACCTAAGATTTAAAACGAATTTATAAAAATTAAAAATCTTACATGAAGCTTTTATTTTAGCTTTAATTTCAAGCTAACAGATTAAACTTAATATTCCAATAAGCTTTGCTGTATTTCAAAATAATTTAAATTAAGTTTTTCAAGAAAAAAAAATTCAATTCATTTGCGAATAAGTCCTGAAAATTTCATTAAAATCCAACAATTCTTTAATTTTTGCAAGATTTTCCAAAACAATGTTTTCAATGCCAAAAATCCCGATAGTAATCTTTGGCACACCTACTGATGCAAGAAAAACAAGATTTTTTTGAAGCAAAATTTTGAATGTGCTAGAAAAGATTCAAAAATATAATGTAATAATCAAAAACTATTTTGGTCTTTCCTCTTAATAATAAAATATTAGATAGTTTCACCTATCGCCTGGTTCACACTCATCACCAGTCCTTTGAGAAGTAATAAACCTTTATGCCTTATTTCCTGTATAGGAGTGGGTTTTCCAATTCCTACTAAAGTATACTCACTCTCTTTTACTTCCAGTATCCCCTTGCATCTTAGTGGCTTTATCACCTTGCATGGGGTGAATTGATTACAAAACAAATTTTGACGATAAACAATATCAAGTTTGGGACTTTTTTCATCATGGTATGCTCTCTTTTAGAAAATGTTTGGAGGTACCTGGAATTTTGACAAACTCATTAGGTAGGTTATTTCTTTCTGTCCCTCTTGTCTCCAATATGTCCTGTGAGAGTCATATTCTCCAAACCGTCTTTCCTCACCTTTTTTTCTGATTCTAATTATTAGCCTCCATTCTGCTTCCATTATCCTTGAAAATTCCCTGTTGCTCACATGTTCAGTCCATGGTATTTTCAGTATCCTTCTGTAGGCTGTCAACTTTATTGCCTCAAGTCTCCTGGGAATTTGTGCGACACTCACTAGATGTGTTTAGTGGAGGAGGAGGTGCATATTCAACGAAAAATCGAAAATTGATTTTTTTACACTGGAAATTATTCATATCATATAAAGTATTTTACAAAAAATTAGAGCCGATTATACAATATTTCAAGCTCAATTTAGGTTTATAGTTTGTAACCATGCAAAGAGATGAGGTAACATAAACCGTAGATTTGTTTGCAGAATATCATTACATTATTGTTACATAATTATAGTGAAATCATTAAGGTTTTTGTCAAAAGCTTTTTATTTTTGGTTGTATATTAATTTAAAATATTTTTTTTTACAGGCTTTATTTTTTAAATGGAATAAGATCATTCTAAATTTCAGAATCTTGCTATTGCCCATCAAAATGACTGGAAGAAAGTGATCTAAAAACAACAATGGAAAAGAGAGGTAACAAAGTGTTAATGAAATAGCTCCAGTTTGTTCAACTTAGGAAACTTAGCATTTCAGCCAAATTATTCTAAAATGCTGCCAATAACAAAGGAGAAAATGAAAAAAATCAAATATAGCATCAAAATTTATATTATTTTTCTTTATGTAACTAAATACATAATTGTCAACGTTTCCATAAAACTTGGTATTTCCTGTAATAAATATTATTATTTTACTCAAGTGTAAGATAGTCCTACATTTACAATTGGCTGGAATTTGAACTTGGGTCTCTGGTTTCTCATTTCAAGCTGATATTCATTACACCACAGCACAAACTTTGATTTTTTTTTTTTTTTTTTAAGAACTTTGGAAATATTTATTTTTCTGACTTCAACACGGAACCATAAATTTGTATAAAAAATTTGAGTGGAATTTTACGCTGAAAAACATATATTTGGAAATTCTTGCAAAAATCAAATAATCAACAGATTTTTAATGATATTTCCAGGACTTGTCTACAAATGAAATTAAATTAGAAATGTTTCTTTTTTAAAAAAATCTTGGTAAATATGTTTTTTGTGTTACAACCTCCACCCCACAGACATTCATTTAATTTTATGAAATTTCAAGAAATTCTTTTTTTATAGTGCCTAATGTTTATATTAGTTATAAAGACAAGTCCTCGGAGAATTTGGTCAAACAGAACCTCCAGTTACAGAAAATCTGCTGACTCGTTAAAAAGAAAAATGCAGTAAAACTCAGGCATTATTTAATTAAAAAGCTTTTAATTGCTTTTATGAATAAAATATGTTATGGACACTTGTCTCTAGAAAAATCTTTTTCAATGAATAATGAATTTTTACAGGAATTGTTTACACATTTTTAAAAAATTTAATTAGAATAAAATAAAAGATAAAACATCTAAATAGTCTGTACTGTATCAAGCTAATCACAACTTATTGGGCCTAAAACTAGCCGATGCTAGTGACAGGTGTAAACAGAGATCTCTGTCAGGCAGGACCCAGCTTGCTTTATGCAAAATTAATCCCAGTTCTGCCTGAAGTAAAAACACAGCTATGATGATAATGATGAACTTTGATCATTTCTTGATAAATTTTTATATATTTTTCATAGATTGCTTTCTTCCAAATTAAACAAAACATATTAGATGAATAAATAAAGTGAACATTAAATAAAAACTGACTTGACTGTTTAATGACTTGACTTTAAACATCAGTTTAAAGATTGAATTTATCAAAATAGAAACAAAATCAAGAGATTAGTATAATCAATGTTACAGAAGATAGCTAAAATATCCAAAATCAAACACTGAAAATCATTTGCATGTGATTATGTTAGTCACTTTAATGTGTGGCTTCCACATAAGTTTATAAAAACAAAATCAAAACCCGAGAATAATCAAGATTACAGGATGCAGGAGATAGCCAACAGATGCAAAATATCCAAACACAAAGATTTGAAAATCATTTGCACCAAATTGGTTATGTTAGTCACTTAGATGTGTGGATTTGTTTTTTACTAATTTTTTTCACCTAATAAAAGGCTCCAAGAGCCACTAAAAATAACAGTTAACCCTAAACCTAAGGAGATTATGATTGTTATGATCTGGGAAGCATCCTATTGACATAAGTTTATAAAGACAAAATCAAGACATAAGAAAAATCAATGTTATATGGTGCAAGAGAAAGTCAATAGACTCAAAATATCCAAATGAATCACTGGAAACCATTTGCATGTGATTATGCTACTCAATTTAATATGTGGCATCCACATAAGTTTATAAAAAAAATAATAATAATAAAGATATGAGAATAATCAATGCTACATGATACAGAAGATAGTCAACACTCAAAATATCAAGATCAATCACTGGAGATCATTTGCATGTGTTTATGTTAGTCGCTTTGAGGTGTGGCTTCCACATAAGTTTATAAAATCAAGATCAAGGCATGAGAATAATCAATGTCATATGGTGCAGGAGAAAGCCAACACATTCAAAATATCCAAAATCAAATACTGAAAATCATTTTTGTTATGTTAGTCACTTTGATGTACGGCTTCCATATAAGTTTATAAAAAACAAAATCAGGGCATAAGAATAATTAAGGTTATATGATGCAGGAGTAAGCCAACAGAATCAAAATATCCAAATCAAGCTTGAAAATATCTCAGTTCCAAATAGACAAAATATGCTGTCAAAAGATTTTGAATAAAGTAATTTTGCCACCAAAATAAATCCCATTTCTTTCTGTTAATTTATCAACTGCT